CTGCTGAACAAAAAACCAAAATCCCCACCCCCAAGCATCTTACAGTCCGATGATCAAGCAAATACAGCCTAGTGGCATAAGTGGGGTATCATTACTGTGTCACTGTCAACCAACTGGTTTTCAAATGTATCAGAAGCATGGAGATCAGCTCATAAGCAAGGGCTTCAGTCTTGCAGTTGGAGCCAATGTGCAGATCCCTGAGCCCCCATTGGAGCCCCCAGTAACTGTTCAGTGAGTTTTGCCCCTAGTTTCCAGATTCCGGAGGACTAAGCCATTTTGGCTAGCTGTCCCGTTGCCAAAGATGAACTTGCACAGTCGGTTGTGCTCACTGAATATTTTCCTATGAGTCTTTTACCACATGGTGACACGGCTGTCATTAGATCCACAGGTTATGTGTTTTAAAATGGTTTTATTGATTTTCACATTCATTACATGAAGTACAAACTATCAGATCTCAGATAGTTGAGAGACAATAAAATGTCTAATATTGAAAGCTGCTTTCAGAAAAAAAAGTGTATTTTGTATGAAATCTGAGCTTTTAGACCAGGGGTGGGCAGGTACCAGCCCATGGGCTGGATCCGGTCCACAAGGGTTAGCTCCTGGTGGGCTCCCACCACTATATTTACTTGCACGGCTACAGGTAGCGACAATCGCAGCTCCCATTGGCCAGGGATCGCTGTTGCCAGCAATGGGAGCTGTGGGAAGCAGTATCCTGGTCAGGGCCACTTCCTGCCACTCCCATTGGTTGGAAATGGCAATCCCTGGCCAACAGGAGCTGTGATTGCCACTACCTGTGGCCGTGCAGGTAAATTCAGCAGCGGTGGCCCACCAGAGCTAACCCTGGCAAACCACTGCCATGTTATTGCCCTCCCCTATTTTAGACCATGTTCCAGTATACTGGCAGGGGGAAATTATAGGCTACGTCTACACTGCAGCCTTTTGTTGGCAGAGACAATGCAAATGAAATGCTCATTAGCATTTGTCGCGCTGTCATTGCATATTCTCTGCCAATGCTTTTTGCGGAAGAGTTTTTTGCGCAAAAGCAAGCAGTGTAAACGGGGCCGTTTTGCGCAACCCCGCCCTTTTGCAGGGGTTGCGCAAAACGGCCCCGTTTACACTGCTTGCTTTTGCGCAAAAAACTCTTCCGCAAAAAGCATTGGCAGAGAATATGCAAATGACAGTGGGACAAATGCTAACGAGTGTTTCATTTGCATTGTCTCTGCCAACATAGCCATAGAGTTTTACTACCTGGAATCCTGATCCTGCAAAAACACACCACATTACTCACATGAGTAGTTCTGTTAACTCAAAAGGATTATTCATGGGAGTAAAGTTATGCTGTAATTACACCCATTGAAGACAGGGGAAGCCTCTCTGCTGACTTCCATATTTTGGGTCATGCCCATACACAATAGCATCAATGAAGATAAGGAGACAATGTGAAGAGGGTCAATAAACTTTGTGGAGCCTACAACTTCCAGTCACCTTTTTGCTGAACAGGTTGTTTTCTCTGAAGCCTCCAGGTCACTAGGACCAGTGCACTAGAAAATAATACATGACCTGAAACAGAATCTTCACATTAATGGTTCTAACTTTTTTGTAATCATTCAGGACATAACAGAAAAGCTTCCTTCTTTTTTCTCTGGATTTGAGAGAGAGAGAACATACACATGTATATATAGGAGCAGCAATACACCATGTTGCCATTTAGTGGTGCCCAAGCATTTTTGGATCTCTGCAGCAGTTTGTAGCAAACCAGGTAACGGCTAAAATACATACCTGACCAGACAGAAATGAAATTAATGAGGCTACACAGCTGTAAATATAAATGGGGTTTTGCCTTGGATATGTTACACCAGAATTCACAAGATGACCCCTGAGGCTACACTGGATAGAAGACATTCGTCAAATGAGTCACCATGGAGAAGTCTGAGGGGTAGTCCTATTAGTCTGTAACTTTAAAAACAATGAGTAGTCCCGTGGCACCTTAGAGATTAACAAAAATAGCATCATGAGCTTTCGGGGGCAACACCCGCTTGAAGTAAGTTAGGCAGGTGCTGGGAGACCTGACAGTGGATCAACAAAGTAATTGAGTGTGCAAGTGGTTGGCTCTGTTTTGGGACCCGTACTGTTCAATATCTTCATCAATGATGTAGATATTGGGATAGAGAGTACGCTTATTAAGTTTGCAGATGATACCAAACTGGGTGGGGTTGCAACTTCTTTGGAGGATAGGGACATAATTCAAAATGACCTTAGCAAGTTAGAGAAATGGTCAGAGGTAAACAGGATGAAGTTTAATAAAGAGAAATGCAAAGTGCTCCACTTAAGAAGGAACAATCAGTTCCATACATACAAGACGGGAAGCGACTGTCTAGGAAGGAGCATGGCAGAAAGGGATCTAGGGGTCATAGTGGACCACAAGTTGAATATGAGTCAACAGTGTGATGCTGTTGCAAAAAAAGCAAATATGATTCTAGGTTGTATCAACAGGTGTGTGGTAAGCAAAACTCATGAAGTCATTCTGCCGCTCTACTCTGCACTAGTTAGGCCTCAGCTGGAGTACTGTGTCCAGTTCTGGGCGCCACATTTCAAGAAAGATGTGGAGAAATTGGAAAGGGTACAGAGAAGAGCAACAAGAATGATTAAAGGTCTAGAGAACATGACCTATGAAGCCAGGCTTCATGAACTGGGCTTGTTTAGTTTGGAAAAAAGAAGATTAAGGGGGGACATGATAGCGGTTTTCAAATATCTAAAAGGGTGTCACAAGGAGGAAGGAGAAAATTTGTTCCTCTTGGTTTCTGAGGACAGGACAAGGAGTAATGGGCTTAAAGTGCAGCAGGGGAGGTTTAGATTGGACATTAGGAAAAAATTCCTAACTGTCAGGGTGGTCAAATATTGGAATAAATTGCCAAGGGAGGTGGTGGAATCTCCCTCTCTGGAGATATTTAAGAACAGGTTAGATAGACATCTGTCAGGGATGGTGTAGACAGAGCTTGATCCTGCCTTGAGGGCGGGGGGCTGGACTCGATGACCTCTCGAGGTCCCTTCCAGTCCTATTATTCTATGATTCAGTCCTGAATATTTATGCAGAGGGTGAACAATGATTAACTGAATAGCACAGTGGTCCCCAACACGGTGCCCGCAGGTGCCATGGCGGCCGCCGGGACATTTCTGTGCGCCCATCAAGTGATCGGGGCCGGCGCTGCCCCCTGGGCGCACGGCGCATGGGCGGTGCCGGCCCCCTGGGCGCACGGCGGATGGGCAGTGTCGGCCCCGGGCGTGCAGCACATGGGCAGCCCCGCCCCCCGGTGGGCAG